CTCGGCTATAGCAACTTTATTGTTGGAGTGTTGTTTCTGATGCCAGTATAATTTGCATCCCGTACTGCCACTACCTAGATATGGACTCCGATTGTTTTGACATCTGGTTGTCGGGAACATTTTAAATCTATCAGCAATTTCGGTAAATTATTTAGATATCAACTGCCACGCAGCAAGTAAAAATGTCATATAAATATTCCCTTTGTCTGTGTTTGGGAAAGGGAGGAATATGGCGGGGGCATTTAGAAATTACCAGCAATTTCTGAAACTGCACGTAACGTCTTTGTTTGTAGTCCGTAATGCCTTATAATTCGTTGTGTAAAGTCTAAAAGGGTAAAGAAGGCTTGTTGAATAATCTGAAGTACTGAGTTAATTTCAAGAATCCTTTACCTAGGTTTGATATTTTAATTTTAAAAAGAGTGAGATTCCCCACAGTTCGTCACAATGTACCTGAGCAAGCAAAGAGTAAACATGAAATGATTGAAACTGGTTATTGTCGTCAGTGCTGGTTTCCTCATAGCGTTTTACAAGTAAATAATTTGACCACGAATCTGGAAAATAATATTAATACGCTATCAAACCTAAAAGTAGACAACGGTGTCCGTATTTCGAGCCTGTTTGTAATTTTTATTCATTGCTACATTTGCGCGGTTTTGGTTATGATGTTTTATTATGAAATACAAATATGTACAATACATCAGCAGAGCAATTATATAAAAATATGCATGATGATGATTTTCGTGAAATCTTTTCATTTTAGTATCTTTATGGAATAGTGCTATTTTCGGATTGTACGTTCGCATCCATATATTTACAAAAAAACTGTTAAAGTTTACCTTGGTGGCAAGGACAAAATTTGCCATTAAGATTGAGTTGCAATAACATCGTTATCTTTGGATATCAGTTTTCTCCAGCAAGAATTCAAAGATAGCCGGAGTAGTTGTGATAATCCCCTCTGGCTCTGGAGCACTTGGGAGGTGTTCAGATTCTTGTATTCTTTGGGGTATAGAGCATTGTTTAAAGTCATTGCGTCCGTTTCCTGATACCTTGGTATCAAGTCACGCTCAGACATTAAGTCGTTCACGCTAAATTGTCCCCAAGACTTGGAGATATTAAACCTGAACGTAGATATATTCTTATGATCGATGTACTCGTGGAGGAGGCGTTTGAAACTATGTGTCATCAAAGCGTCCCAGGCAAATTCATCGCGTCCCTTTTCCAGAAACGCACGATTTTCAGGCCTGTTGAACAATTTAAACAATTCCTGCATCCAAGTTGTAGTCAGGAGAGTATGGGCGCGGATCGGACCTAGAGGAGTGATGAATATGAACCAGTAATTATCCCCGCCGAAAATGAAATCGTAATTCGACAGCATGTTTAACTTGGTTTTCATACTGCCAAAACTGAGGGTGTCAACGTCCATGTATATGCCGCCATATTGGTTTAGCATGGCGGCACGGTAATAATCGGCTTGATGAACGGGGGTGAGCGACTTAAAAGCCGGGTGGACGTAGGGAACGCTTTTCTGAAACTCTGTTGCGTTTAACAAATATAATTGAAAGTCTTCATGGTTATGGCACAAAGCCGACAGGACACACAACTCCGTAAAGGCCGGTGGTGTCGATCCGTTCCAATACATGAACATAAACGGCCTTCCATTTTTCTCATAGATGTGGGTATCTTTATTGGAAACAGCGTCGCTTGCGTCTATAAATACGGTGTTAAGCCGTGGCCATAGCGTTTCTCGAATATAATTAACCTTTTCAATCAAACTTATATTCTTGTTAATCCAATTATGTCTTGGAGAAGTTGCAAAGCTTGAATCCTGTCGCAGTACCTTGGTCATCATTTTAGAATATGTTTTATAGAACAGAACATTTCCGTTCATGAGTAATATAACTCCTGTCGAATATACGACTACGGCCATAAGAAATACGAACATGCAAACTAGACAAGGTCGGCTCAAAAGCTTTAACGCCCTCCATCGCAGCATCATACTGTAAAATATAGCCAGTTCTTTTTTCCTCCGTTAGACCCAAACAATGACTTTTCATTTTAATATTCACTGATATAAGTCTCTGGCTTATTATGTGCTATTTTTCTGTCCATAATTGACGTCATCACTCACCTGACCTGTGGTGGAGGGTAGCAATTTCAATGGCGGACGGTCTAATTAGTAGTCCCTCATACTGGTCATTTCCCTGACTAAATTACACGCACCTGTAAAAATGTTCCGGGCACTTCACTTGCACACCTGCACACTATGTGATCTCGACAAGAGGACGGAGGGCAGCCAACGCTAAATGTAAATGCACTGACACACGCGCACGCAGGTACAAATATTGTGCAGATATAACCACCTGCTTCTCTATTCCAGTCTTTATCCGACCGCACACGGGTTTCTGTAAGCTCCTGGACCTTTGACATTTATTCGGTGTACTATCGATTTATGTGTATGTGCATCCAAATAATATATATATATATATATATATATATATATATATATATATATATATATATATATATATATATATATATATATATATATGTAAAACTAGTGGCTGCAAATAGATAGACAGATCGTTATTTCGGGAACCACGCCCAACGCTCCTTATCCAGTACTTGTAAAACATCGGATTCGCCACAGGGAGATAGCGATGAGGTTTTGACACAACGCGGTTGTTTTCATAACAGACCCATGATTTATATATGTCCTCATGTGTAAGCTGACATCGAGAAGAAGACAATGATGGTAAATAGATAAACGACAACGCACCCAACTTGTGGGTAATTTCCCCTATTTGTCAGTAACGCTCGACTGAATTAATTCATTTATCTGTGCGATATAAAAGGCATTTGTGGTTGGTCGCTCTTTTTTGTACCAAATTATTGTGCGTTTTTATGTATTATTTAGATGCAGATGTCACGCGAATTTCTTTCTCTGTATCATTGTTGTAGAAAACTATTTTTAAAAAGATACATGAGCTATGAACGGCCTCGGTATTAAAACATGCATTTTTCCCTAAGACGACCAGGCTTCATTAAAAGCGTATTGCACTTAATTATATAAATCTTGAGTGAGTTGACATTTTCGAATTTCTATTCCTTAAGAAATCCATCGTGGTTTTCAACTAAATGTCATGTGATCGTACTTCATTGTATGATCACGGGGGCACTATAAATTTATGTCATCGTGCCAATAACTGCTACCTGGTGGCTGGAAGTAGTACAAAAATCATAGTACAAAATGGCAACACCGATATTTGTGACGGCCTCCTTTCACACGGTTGGAGTTTCTGTTTAGATGATCTCTAGATTTACAAACAGGTCGAGATTATTCCAATTTGAATAATTTATATCGCAGCTAGCGCGTAGAAAATAGCGCGCCAACTTTATTGATTCCTCGGGTCTCATCCCCGGTATTAGGCCCTACATGATTGTATTTATAGACTGTGGCCGTGCGCATAAATATGCAATATTTTGGATATAAAAATTAATAATATTAAGGGATTACAACTCTATATTTGAGATTCAATTTATTACAGCAAATACTTTTAAACAACAAATAGGACTATAATAAATTTCATTTTACATTTAACTGGGGTCATCACGTCATTTATGATGGGATCCATGCATGCGATCGGACCACTTGGACCTTCACAGATGGCTTCCCTTCATAATAATCTCTTAAGAGATTGTAACAAAAACCACATTTACAACGAACACAGTCGACCAACTTTGAATGTCAGAACGGATTCATAAACCACGAGGAATGATGGGTAAGTTGTCGTTTATCCCAGGAAAATCCGTCTTACGGCACTATCCACACCAAAAAGAAGAGTTGCCGTCCCTTTTAAAATTTACTAATTGTTTATCATTTCACAGAAAATTGAGTAGTGATATTCCTAGGAGAATTATTATCCCTAGAATAATTATATTCATAATATGTGGGAAATATCCCACGTCCAGGTTGGATAATTTATGAACGCCAACATCTGCATGACTGACTTAAATGCGAGATGAAAACGATACAAGAACCGTACACGTTTGTGCCAGGATCACGCTCTCGTTTTCAGCCTCGCGGCAACAGGAGCAAGAGACACGTGCTTTCCCGGAGGCCTATTGTCGATGCTTCATCAAAAAGCGATATGCGCCCCCGCCTTGGGTTAGCTGTATAAGACATGGGATTCCAGAGTTCATTAGCAGCCAATGTATACCTCTTTTCATTAATGATATAAAATGAGTGAAGGAAATCAGAGTATAGCCGTTGATGTATTTCACATTTACATACACATACCAGTGATTTAATGCTACAGTGTGAATCTAATAAATTAACCTATATTAGAGGGTTTTAGGCCCTGGTGGTAATGAGAATTTTTTGTTTGTCGTTCGTCGTATTGATTCCCCGTTTTTGTTATGATGCTGTTATCTTTCACATTGTACTATCCATTTTAACATCTTAAAATCTGAACTGTCCATATTTTAATCTCTTAATATCTTAACTACCTGTTCATTTATTGCCTTTATGCATCCATTCTGTTCATTTACCCATGTTAAGTCTACTGAACATTTTATATGGATTTTAGACTATTAATAATAATAATAATAATAATAATAATAATAATAATAATAATAATAATAATAATAATTATTATTATTATTATTATTATTATTGTTGTTGTTGTCGTTGTAAAGTATTACAAAGTCACAATCACTGATTTGAAAGATTCTTGACATCAATCACAAAAGATGGGCAAATATGGTAAAACACATTATGTAAGATGCGTATACTGGTCACATGTAGCAACACGTACATGGCAGTCCACAATGTATTTCCCAGTGAGTAAACCAGGCCGGGGCGTGGACACTGTGCTGGTGACCAATATGTACATCTCTGCCCCCGGGGGTTGGACAAGTAGCTGCAGGGGGTGCAACACTCACGTGGTGGCCCTATAAAAGACGGGCGCACTTCGCTCTTTAGAAGTTGAGATACAGTTGAGATAGTTTCAACAAAAAGGGATCAGTTTATTGAAACTCTGCTGCAATTAGCGTGGTAATACCATCATTTAAAATAGTAGTATCTCTGGTTGGTTGCCCATTTACATGAATTGTGAAATAAGTCAAGATACGGCGCAGTTTTTTTCCAAGAAAGATCTCGCTGCGGTGGCGGAATAGTCCGGTTAAAAAATCAGAACCAATTAAGAAGAGAGAATCTCGACAATCACTAAGTTGCGTACAGAGGTGTACCTAAGCGTTTTTTTGAGAGATAGAATTTATTGAAAATCTGCCGAGAAGATTCCAACCGCCGCCTTGAGAAAGGGGAGTAATTGAAGAAGGGTCTAGGAGAACACTCTCGCCCAAGTTTTAACGTCAGTGTTTTTTATTGATAGTTCAATCGGGGTTCAATATGGGCATACAGGAACTGCCGAAATACAAATGGGGTTTCAAGGAAGTCAAAACACCTGCTATGTGGAAAGCAGTGGCGGGCGAATTTATTGGAACTGCCATTCTTCTTTTCACCCATTGTCAGTTAACTATCCGGTAAGTTATCGAGATGATATACTCAGAGTCAATGGAGTTGAGATTGAAATTCTTATCATGCCGGGATGTTTTTATGAAAATTGCGTACGGTTTATGATTCCTGTGAAACGTATAACTTCATCGTGATAGGTTCATTTCCCGTTCATTAGTTTGTTATTTTGATGCTTTTTATTTTTTATAATAAAAAGTGAACATTTGCACAACTAAGGTATATTAATTACCTTGTGAATAGGGTAAGAAAGTATATAAGCAGTATTTATATGCTTAATATAATGTCCCATGTTGTGCTTGATTTTTGATAAAGACGTTTGAGTCTTCACGACATTTCCACATCACACATTTGAATCTGTTTAAAACACAGTGTTTCAACCTTCAGAAACATAGACGAAATAACGAGGCAGGCATGCATTTAAATTCTAAGAAAAGCGCAACGTTGTTGGGTAGTATATTTTATACACTCTTTGCTAAGAGCAAATTTCGACTGAAGTCATTCTGTAAAACGTACATTCCCGAAAAATCGGCCAAAAGCACGCCATCAGTCTCGCAGATTTTACAAAAACCTCACAGAACCTCGAATCAGTCCCCTAAAATACTCTTCGAACGCATTTACCATTTTTCTGAGAAATTATAGTCATAATTTTTTGTAAACCAGATGGCCCAGGTTTCCGGAAGACGGCAACATCGTCCAGAACGCTCTGGGCACTGGTTTCACGGTGGCGTCCATCATCGAGGGGTTTGGTCATCTGAGCAGGGCGGTGGTCAACCCCGCCATCACGTTGTCCTTCGTTATAGCCAGAAAGGTGTCGCCAACGCGAGGTAGGCCTTTTTTTCTTGGAATAGTTGTGAGAGATGCGTGTTTACTATATGTGTTTGGAAGCGTGGACTATCAGCGTGAAATCTTGTTTATTTTTTTAAAATTTGAACTTACCTTGAAAGTCTGCATATTTGTTTATACGTATATACTGTATGCATGTAGCCTAATATATGAGGAAACAAACAAACAAACAAATAGAAATATCTATACATTTTCAGGCTTATTCTACGTCCTGGCGCAGTTACTCGGTGGCATTGCAGGAACAGGACTCTCTTGGCTGTAAGTAAAAATAGGAAGAAAACACATTTCGGCAATTTTCGGGCGTTCTCGTACCTTTGTAACTCTTACGGTTGTACAGGCCTGAAATGCTATGGGTTTATATTGATTGTTATGGGGATAACAAGCCTCAGGTTTCCCAAATTTTTATCGTATTATTACAAGACAGACGATGTTACAGAGTTATATTCTTTACTTGGAGACTACAAGTAGAAGTATAAATTACTATTTCATCGCCCTATTTAGAGACCATGATAAACCTTTTTCATTAAAAAAGCATATGCATTGGACTTTTTCTTTATCTGTAACGATTGAATGTCAAAACAGTGTAGGCAACTTACGGCTTCGTATCCAACTAGGCCGACAGTGCCATTTATAACAGACACCAAACGCAAACTGATAAAGCTTAACCAATGGATTATCCATTTTGTACTCGACTGAACATTCTCCCTTATAAACCCAGAAATCCGAGAAAACTGGTTGTGGGGTTCTCCATTTTGAATTTTGTTTTGTCACTTTCATCATGACGACAGTGTCACCCCGACGGAGAGAGTGGGTAACTTTGGGGCCGTGTTCGTGCACCCAGATATTACGTTGTGGCAAGGTTTTCTTATGGAGACGTGCCTCACCTTCATGCTGGCGTTTGTCAACCTGGCTTCCATCGATGATCGTCTGCGTCCCGTCAACATGCCGTCGGTGGCAGTGGGTCTTCTCGTCTGCGTGATGGTCTTTACCGGGGTACGTACAAGATATAACATATTTTACTATTTTTAAGTGGACTGGCTGTGGTAAAAGGAATTAAACCGATTCTTTAAATTCAAACGCAAAACTGTTAACAGATAAAAAAAAAAAATACAATGAAAATTTTGTTTATATTTCTATTTAAAAAAATCCGTAAACGTGTTTGATGCCTCCAAGCCGATATTGAAATTATACCAGTATGCAGATGCCTTACTTTATGGTTATTTCAGGCAACCCAAACTGGCGCCTGTATGAACCCCGCTGTTGCTATGGGACCCCACGTGATCCTGAACCAAGGCTGGATGTGGGCACAACACTGGGTAAGTGGGAACACTTACCCGCACGAAAATGCAGTAGTATCGAAGTAGTAAAAAAGCATTAACGCAGTAGTGGTGTGGAGCATATTTGCAGTAGAAATGCAGTATAGCCTACTGCAATTCTACTCCAAAAAGTACCTAGGTTTGTACAGAAAGGAGCATTAATGCAGTAGATAAGCAGCATGATAGAAGCATGTTTCAAATATGCTAATTAGCTCCCAAATCGAAGCAGATTTGAAGCATGTTTGCAGTATGATTGCAGTAGTTTGCAGTATGATTGCAGTAGTCTACTGCACTGGAGTTATCTACTGCGTTTTCGTGCGGGTTAGGTCACGTGACCGGTAACTATCCAATCACAGGTTCAGAAGATCTATTTCAGCTAGATAGGAAGCGACAACAACAACAACAACAAAAAAAAAGCCAGAATTGTACATATATTTTGCTCGAATAAAATAAACATGTTTTAAATACTCGTTAAATTATAAAGTCGTGGTAAGCAATGACGAGACACATAACAGGCGCGCTGTCCCAACTGTCTTGTTTTGTTTTAAGATCAGGGCCGTAGCCTCCGGGGGGGCAGGGGGGGGGGAAGCTGCCCCCCCCTGGGATTTGAGGTGCAAAAAAGAAAAATAATAATTGCAAAGTTGACTGTACTTATGGCAAAATGAACCCACAATTTCTGACTTCTTATTGAGCGATAAATAACAGTTAAAATGCACCAGAATGCAGTATTATACATACAGTTTTTAAAAATTTTCCGCACCGTGGGAGGGGCACAACCCCTCTCACACCCTCCCCCCTCGGGGGCTCCGCCCCCTCGTGTCCTGTTTTGCCCCCCCTGGCATTTTGCTCAGGCTACGGTCCTGAAGATTGGTTGCTTTCGACACCAAATCTTAATCATGTGATCTAAGTTTTAAGTTATGCTGTCAAAGTTTCAGGGCTGAATGCGTGCCTTTACCCATGGAGGTAGATGGCCAGATTACGGAGTCAGATGTGTCCCCGAGGAAATATGTTCTTTAGGGGAGGGATACCGTCTGAGGGGCGTATTTTGGCCATCTTCTGGGTATTCTGGAAGACGGTCAGATTTTAAAGTTTACATTGACGGGTATCTAATTTTTTCTGTAGGAAGACGGTCAAAAATGGAGAATCGATCTACAAAAATAATTTGGAAGACTGTCAGAAAATATCTCTGGATCGGCCCCTCCGTCTGCCAGGAGCCATTCTTACTGTTACAGAATCGGTCATTCAACAGATTGTGTAACGATTATCTAAAACAACTAGGAGGGCCTCTGACAGAGTATAAGAAAGGACGGGCTTAGCCTAACTTATCGTGTACATGTAGCTAGGGGGCGTACTGCGTCTACTTCACCTATCAATCTTATTATTTCATGATAGATTTTAGGCTGTTGCATGGTTTATGCCTTTAAGTTGCTTCAGGAAATATTTCTTTTTCTCCTAGTTGTACTGGGTCGCTCCCTTCACCGGCTCAGCCATAGCAACCGTACTGTACATGTTTTTCTTCACCTGGGGTGTCAAAAGTCTCGAATTTCCAGACGGCGACAAGGAGGCTGACCCCTACGCTGAGACAAGAAACGGTGAGTTGAATTTTGGGAGGGAGCACTACTCCTACCTTAAATGAGATTTTGTTGAGAGAAAAATACTGCTTTTAATTTATTAAGAAACATTTGCCCACGAAACAACATAAATGTGAATGAATTTATATTTTTGATGATTTGAGAATTTCTGTTACCGTTCTTGGTAAAACGTTTCAAGTTCAATCATTCTGTTAAACCACGTGTTCGTAAAGTTCCTTGTGATAGTTTAAGGGGAGGGGTGCACCAAATGCAAGGGAAAAGTGCTAATTTCATTATAATTATTATTATTATTTTCGCTAGAACTACTGGACGACATTATTCACGCTGTCTCAACCACGTATAAACAACACGAAGCCCGCAGTCTGAGAGAAAGCAACGGTAAAGCTGACCGAGGAAAAGATTCGGAACCCAGACCTGCCTTCATTGCCCTCCAAGATGTTAACAGCTTTCCTAGTTAACTTGCACGACGAACAAACAAATAAATAAAGACGGAAACGTTTCTTTGCTTAAATGTTTGTCGGGGAAAAAAAATCGCCCGAAAAAATAGGGCGTTATTTGTTACGGCTATTGTCGACGAACATATGAAAGATATTCCATAAGGATTGAGTTGTATTAATCCTCTTAACTTTGTATTCAGAGGGCTTGATCTTGAGCTCCAGACATAAAGGTTGTCCACGCCAGTTTATACCAGTTCTAAATTTTGGTCATCTCGCTCACCTGACGACACTGAACAAAAGTTTTGGGACCAACATTTCTTAGCTGATTAATCAAAGCAGACTGCGGTTACCTGTAAATAGTTTTTATACTCTATACAAGTGAAGATACATCCTAAAAACACCACTGCATCAAAAGTAGTCACGATAGTTTAACATCAAGTTTAATGTAAGGGTTTGTCATGGCCGCCAGGTAGAAGTACCAGCTAGTTTGTTAACATCAGACATACCGGTAGATAATAGTGTTTGAGTAAAATATAGGTCTACAGGGTCACATTGTCATATTTTATTCACATATATTTCATAAAATCTTAGAAATAAAACATTTCTTGTACCTCCGCTAGACCTCATGATTATCATAATTGACCATGGAATCTGGGCAATGTACAGTGTGTATAATGATTAGAGCGCAGCCTACTACATGTAGGCCTACTATAGGTTGTGTATTTCTTTAACGTACTATTTCCTCTGGAAAAGCGTCGTTAGCCTATGCTAATTTTTGGAAGCATAATAAGAATGAAAGAAATTTAAAACTTAAAAAGGGGAAGGATGAAAGCAAGATTAAAAGAATAATTACTACCCTTAAAAACTGGTAAAAAAATTAAAAGGTTGTGATCTGGATGGAAACTGTTGCTCTTAATAGCCGCTGTTTGATTTGCGACCCTCTCGAGATAAATAGATTGAATAGGAATGAGACCAGACCCAGCCCCTCTCTCTCTCTCTCTCTCTCTCTCTCTCTCTCTCTCTTTGTACAGTTTCACGCCAATACAGTTAATTACACTGTAACACACACGTTAAAACAAGTTCCATAGCCCACCTGTTAAAGTTCGTTAAATGGACACGTTGTCTTGGTGTTATCACTCCGGGTTAGTCTAGCATTCAATACTCACGACTTGTGGTCTCTTTGTAAATCTATTTTTTTTAAAAACCGTACGTTATTGTAGTTTTAGTGCCACAGTTTTAGTATACATTGTAAGGTAATAGGCGTTTTAAAAATGTACACGTACCTGTAGACTCTGTTTGTAGGCCTACCAACAGTTACATATATTCATAGAAGTATCTACTTGTACATGTATGATATAATAAATGAATAAACAATATATAATTTCTATTTTGTTAATCGAGATAACGTAACGTTAAATAATTAACTTTCTATGCACTTATTCTGTATTAAATGTATGTCGTTTAAAAAGTATATATTTTTATTAAAATTGCTATAACACTGTACTTGAACTGTTTTAACATCAAAATGTTGAAGGGCGCAGGACTTAAATTTTCAATAGGCTTGGTTTGGGGCTATCTTGTATGTTCTTTCACCATTACCATTGAACGTTAAAAACAAGGTCATCGTTCTCCATCGGTGAGTAGGGTAAAGTGAACGGGTCGCGTTTCAGTGGCCCTTTTAATCCTTTATCCGATGGCTTCCGTGTTAAAAAATGCTGTGCGCCTAGCAACGAAGACGCTCCATGAGTCTAGCAAGCCAGGCGTTAAAGCAACCTCGAGGTTTTTCCATTTTTATTCTCCGGAGCCGTGTCACCCGATCCCTGATAAGTTGCCGAAATGGATGTCGGCCGAGGAGGCCGTGTCGGTCGTGAGGTCCGGTAAGTGACGCTAAATATAACTCTAATGATGTTCTACATTGTTTAACACATTAATATTAACATAGATGACACATGCTGTCATTTTAGTGGAATGCAATAACTTATTATCTCGGAGAATATGGAGTAATGTGTTTGAAGGTCATTTGGGGTTGTCCGAGTTGTTTGGTGACCCCACGATGACCGCTTGCACGTCCAGGTGGGTCAGTTGTCTTAAAAGGTCGGGCCATTGGGGTTAAATATTGGTCTGGTTGTTGTGTGGGCTGACTGCTGTGCAAAACCGAATTACTTGATTGTTTGCATGGATGCTTATAATTTTTTGATAATATGGTAAAACAGAGTTGCTGCAGTAAATGTAACATTATTACTTTCTTTCAGAATGCATTTTGATGCAGTTTGAAGGTTATAAAAGTCAAGATGTGATAAAATGACAGAAAAAATACACCCCCTCCCCCCCCCCCCAAAAAAAAGTGTAGAGTGCACGAAAAATTTTGAAGAGTTAATTAACCTGCTATAATTTGTAAGCCTTGAAGATCTAGTCAATGCCCAAGATTAAAAAAGTGAAATATAATCAAAGGCAAAAATAGTAAATAGGTTAGTTCTTTGTTATATGTGCATGGGCCTGTACCAGGTATATAATATAATCTAATAGGCCTCCTAGCTATAACATTAAGTTGAGAGTATTGATGGAATTTTTGGGACAGCTTCTTCTTTAATGCAACTTGACGTGCAGCTTGGCACGAGTGTACTAGTGTGTGAGCTGGAAAAAAAAAAAAAAACTCAAGTAAGTTCACATCGCTGTGGTGGTAAGCAGTATTACTTGGCCAGAATCTCAGCTTTTAGTCAATTTTATGTACATGTTACCATGATTTAAGCTTCCTGTAATAACGCCAGGAATTGCTCACATAGCTACATGTACCTGTACCTGTAGCACACCTGCGGCACACCTGAAGTACTTCACATCTAGCTAAAGGTTGCTGTGTGGTATACAAACTATGAGAGTGCTGCAAGAGTTTTGATCTTTTAGCTATGAGAGTTTAAGCACTTTTTGTTCTGGTACTTCAGTATAAATATCAGGTGCAAGTACTTATGTAATACAATCTTGCTGCATCACATGTGTTACACTCAGTGTAGTAAATCATGGACACATGTTTACCAGGGGCAGATCCGGGATTATTTGAAGGGGGCTCTGCAGTAGTGAGGCCGCCCTCTACCCCCACCCCCCAAACCCCCACCCCACTGAAGGGCCCTTGCTTTTCTTATGTTTTGAGCTGTATTCAACATCAGACTCAGAAACAATATCATCAAGTCTTAGGCAAAATTTTGGTATTTTAGAGGACCAATGGTGCCATTTGGTATGGTTTAGAACCGTGATTCAGCTAGTCAGAATTCTAATCTCAAGAGGGGACCAGAAATCGAAAGGGGGGGAGGGGTAGGACCCCCTTGACTTCCCCTTCTCTAAATCCGGCACTGCCCACTGTGTATTATATATACTACTACTATTCTGACTCAATATGTCATAATTTTTATGTGCAAATACTAGTAATTCATCCAGTCAGGCAGGCTTGTATACTGATACATTACAATCCTTATACGTCCCTGCCATATGCCTCATAATGAAATAAAATTAGAATTGAGAGTCATAATGTTCATATTCCAGGGATGAAGGTATTTGTCCACGGTGGGGCGGCCACCCCCATGCCTCTCGTTAATGCCCTGGCACAGCATGGGTTAGACTCCGACCTGAACGGAATAGAGATTATGGACATGTTTCTCATTTGCCAAACCCCTTATGTGCAGCCAGAGTACAAAGGTGAGTCAATATTTATTTATTTATTTAGTTTGTTAGTTATAGTTTTTTTCCTGCTTGTATTATGCGTATTTTATCATTTGTATTTGCATGTTTCTTGTTTATACATTCATTCAGTGAGTCATTAATCTGTTTTATTATATTTTCTTTCATTTTGCAAAAACATGTTTTTTACATTTGCTTTTTATTTACATGTTTATTAACTAGAAAAGTGTCATTTTATTGATAATTACTTCAGTCACAAGAAGTCAAAATCCTAAAATTTTGACCACACAAGACCTACAAACTCATTAAAATATTTTTAATATAATAGGGTTTATACGTATTAATGTATCTTTCATTAACTATATTATTCATTGACCATTTATGATAATTTTTTTAATGTGATATTTTTTCCTTCTAGGAATTTTCAGAAGTAACTCATTTTTCATTGGAGACAATTGCCGTGAAGCAGTGAATGACGGAAGGGCCGACTTTGTCCCCATATTTCTCAGTGAAATTCCGCTGCTTTTTAGGCGCAATTTAATCACCCTAGATGTTGCCCTGATCTCTGTCAGCTCACCAGATGAACACGGTTTCTGTACGCTGGGTCCCAGTGTGGACTGTGCTAGAGCTGCCTTGCAGAATGCCAGGTATATCATAGGTAAGTGATGTATTTATTTGGAAGAAAGAAAATATTTTTTAAAAAAATTTAAGCAGATTTTCAACTTTATGGGAGCCAAAAATATTGGCCTATGCAGCCCCCTGGACCCTATGCCATATTTTCCAACTTTTTCACTGAATGGCAGTGTCATTTCTGTTTTCAAATTATTTAATTATTTTTAATATTTATTTATTTATGTTCTATTATTAATAATTTTTAATTTATTTATTTATTTGTAACTATTACAGCTCTGGTGAACCCCAACATGCCTCGTACATTTGGAGACGGAATGGTTCACATGTCTCACTTTGACGCCATGGTGCAGGAAGACTACGCTCTGCCTGAGTACAACTCCAATAGGACAACTAGCGAGGTGGAACAGCAGATTGGACGCATAATCGCTACTAACTTAGTTCAAGATGGCGCCACTTTGCAGATGGGTGAGTGTTGGTTAAGATGTCGTTTTGACAATTTCCTCAATTTCAGGTGCCATGGACACTCATTTTTGAAAAATTTGTCTGATTCACAACAATGCATTTCTTTTGCAGTTATGAATTTTTTTTCAGATTTTTATCTTAAATTTGACCTAGTTCACAGCAGTGGTGCTGGAGAATATTACTCTTATCCAATGTACAAAGTTTATTTAATTGTGAAGGATTTATTACAAGGTGCAGCAATTGCGGAGGTGTTAAATTGTCAAGTGTTAAGGTGATACATTGGGAAGTAGTATAAGAGTCAATTAAAACTTGACTTCAGCTAAAACAAAACAAAATGAAAGTGAAACTAAACTATTCAAATAAAAAAAGCTGAAAAGTAAAGTTCTTTAAGATTCCTTAAATAAGTTTATTCTTGGTTTCTTCAGGTATTGGTAATATCCCAGATGCAGTAATCAGTGCTCTATGGAGTCACAGGGACCTTGGCATTCACAGCGAGATGTTGGGCGATAGCATGATCGATCTCGTGGAACGTGGTGCCATCACAAATGCTGGGAAGAATATCCATCCTGGGAAAATCGTAGGAGGTTTTGCCGTGGGGACAAAGAGGCTGTACGAGTATATGCACGATAATCCAATGATTGGTATGTGGGGTTTGTTGGAATTGAGTTTTCTATACAGGGGGATTAAAAAATAAAGTAGAAAAAAGAAAAAAAAGTAATACCTACTATATCCTGCTATTACAATGTGTTTTTTTCCTGAGAGTTTGCTCCAAGTTGTGATGTTTCATGCTAATGTCAAACATTAAAATGTACATTGAAGGCAATAGGTTGCATGCTTTATCCATAAAATAATTTCTTTTCTATGTGAGTTGAATAAAAAAAAAATATTATATTTAACAAATGGGACTGTGTTTCACATGAGAAAAGAATGGGAGCCCATGGTACATTTCAGTTTTTTTCTTCTTTCAGTGATGTTGGACATAGGGTTTGTAAATAATACTTCCATAATTAGCCAGAATCCTAAAGTGACGGCAATCAACTCGTGTATTGAGATTGACTTGACAGGACAGGTGTGTGCAGACTCCATTGGGACCTGGATGTACTCCGGTAAACCAATTCATCTGATTCTTAGAAAAATGGTCTTTATAGAGAAAAAGGTTTTGATGCGCTGAATTTTGTTTTTTTTTTTTCAAATTCATATAGGGTAAAAGATAAGGGCATTTTAGTGAGAAATAAGAACATTTTAGCCAGGAATATCATGAACTAAATCCAAAGCAAATATATGCCAGTAGAGAAATGAGCTTTAATGATATTTTTAATACATCAATTTCTGTATGGATTAAAAAACTATGAATCTTATTTCTGTCTTCAATGATTTTAAATTTATCACAATATTTTCTGCTGTGACACTGACTTTTCGAAAATCTCCCCAGGTGTTGGCGGTCAAATTGACTTTTTGCGCGGTGCTGCTCTAAGTATGGACGGCCAGGGGAAACCAATCATTGCCCTCCCCTCCACCACCCAAAAAGGGGAATCCAAAATTGTTCCCGTCTTAAAAGCTGGTAAGACTGTTATTTAACTCAAACTATGGACAGATCTGATATTATGGTACTGACTGTGTGAACTAATATACATGCTCTTTTTTAACGCAGTAGATAGTGTTCATTCCAAATTACCTGTGCTGTTTTTAAATGAAAAGACTTGCTGATAAAAAAAGAAAAAAAAAAAAAAACAGTTCTGAACCTTCCACAGACGTTGTAAGTTTTTTGCTCAAAACAAAAGGCTATTATTATTGAAAAAAGTGTTTTATTCACGCCTTTTTCATGGTATATATATATGATGAAAAACAAAGATATATGTACTGCATAAATGAGTAATGCTTGTATTACAGGGGCGGGTGTTACGACCAGCAGAGCACATGCACATTACATAGTGACGGAATACGGCATTGCGTCCTTGTTTGGCAAGAATCTCAGACAGAGAGCTTACGAATTAATCAAAATCGCTCACCCAGATCACAGAGAAACACTGGAGAAAGAAGCATTTGCCAGATTAAAATGCATGCCATCTCCTTAACAAGAAAACATTTGAAATTAAATACCTGTTGTTTGTTTATAAGGTGTATTCACACACGGAATTAAGTTTGGATTCATTTAGGTACAACTGGCGTCAACAGATAACTGAAAGAATGGTCCAGTGATTAAGTGTTCTAGGTCTGGTGGGGTTTGCTTGTTACCTTGCTCAGCACAGCTGAACCGTGTTCACACAAAGTAAATCATGGACTGTTATGGCAAGGTTTAACTCCCCACCATAGACCAGCTGGCTGTTCACATAATTTCTGAACTTCTCTGCAAAAACATTAACTCTAACAGTACAGATGCAATACAGAATTAAACCATAAAAATATCTGTGAACATCGTAAAGATAAAATTCTCTCTGACCCTGGTACATTGTAACAGAGTTTTAAGATATGGTATTACAATCTCATCATCTGTGGACGCGTTGTGGACCTACCTAAATCGGTCTCAGATTTAGTCCTTGTCTGGATGCACCTTTATTTTACTGAAGTGCAAATAAATCTATGTGGTCATGTGGTATTTCACTATATCAACAGCTAGTTGAAGATTAAAAAAGTGGGGAGGGATACAATATTTTTTTTAATATTTCAACTCATTTCTAGTAACAGCCAATTGTGAGACTATATATTGACCTTTACACACTATTTGAAGAGCGTCTAATTTATGTTATTTTTCTCATCAAGGCAAATTAAGAATAGATTTGCTACCAAGGCTTAGCTTTATCAAAGAGAACAACAAAAAAGGGTTTAGTTGACCTTTTGCAATATGACACTGATCTTGGTTTTTGTGTACAACACAATTGCATGTTATTGATGCCTTAAAGGTTTGTAATTGTTATTTTAGACGGCATGATAATCATCATTTTTTTTCTTTGAGAAACTGATGTAAAATATTTGACTGAAAAATTGGGTAATATCTTAATGTGGCATATGGTTTTGCAGATCTAAGTTTAGGTAATCAATATGCTTGTTTGACAAAAGAAGTAAAAATCATAAAATGATGTAAATTGTTAAACATATTAGCATGTTATTATATAGCTTGGAGTGTGTAACCCATGACAATGATTTAGAAGGGTTATAACCTGTTAGCATGTTTTCATATTTATACACGTGCAGGGGCACAACAAACAGTCTGAGTCACCTGGCTTGGCCAAATCATTGAAAATGACAGACTGGATAATAGAGTTTTTTTTCTGTTCTAATTTTTGGTAATTATTGAGCTGTTATTCAATTAAGGAGATGACCGTGTACTGTTATAATGCATGTTTTTAGTGCTGGTTGTTCATGTTATTCATTTATTTATCATTTCATTTATTCTTTTATTTATTAAAGATATTTTTAAGATGTATAAAAGGGTTGTATACAAATGGATTTGCACTAGTCATGTTGAAAACCAATTTCATAAATGTATTTTATGAGCTCTTTATCAGTCCTCCAGAGGTGGTTTTGTATTGTTATTTTTGTCTTATATGTGTACTGGTAGTTGACACAGGTCAAAGTATGTGGGTCACGTTTTACTCCTTTTGAATGTTTCATTTATACAATTCCTTGAACAGCACCGCCTGTGGGGTACTTCCCTCTTGTGGATTTTCTTCTTTAGCTTGTAGTTTTGCTTCTTCCACTAATGGCACTTTAATCTTGGTGCTTATTGTTTACATCAAGATAAAAAGTTAGCGTGCATGCACGCTCGTGCGGACATTTAGGAATGCCAAAGTACGTGCATACATGTACAATGTGCGATTTTCATTTAAGTGATATTATTGCCTTTTATTACGAATTTATCTACGTGAAACTTTACAAATTGTGTAGAATTATTCATAGCTGTTTTAGGCATTAGAATACCAATCGAAATCAAACTAGAAAAATCAACTCAAATCAAATTGTGAAAGCAAGTCATAATAGGATTGACAATTATTTCATAATTATTTCCAGTTGTTTTATATTTAATATATAAGATTGTTAGAAAATGCAGTTCTGAAACTTGCCTACATTTCTCCCAGAAATAGTGAAAAGTAATCGCCCGACGCATGAGCAGGGCTATTTGCGCATGCGCAAGGACAGGTCGCTCAAATAACTATTATTTCTTTAAACTTGGCAGCACTACGGAAGCCCACTGGTGCCATATGTAGAAAAAAAAATTATCTCGAAATTTCGAGATACTATTTTGAAATTTGAACAAAAAAATTTACCACCAGCGTTAGCGCTGGCGGTACACATGGTTTCGGTCCCGTCCGGTCCGTTCCGCCGGCTCCGCCGCCATGTTACCGTTACCGCTTCTCCTCCTAGACGGTAAGGGCCCCCGTACCCATCTCATGGATTTAGGTCACCTATAATCTCAACTCGTTCCACGTAAAATTTGGGCTTTGTCGGTATTGGGGTCTGGGTGTGGCACTCATTGCAATGCACCCTTGTCTAAAAATGGCAAAATTAAATGCTAATTATCTACCCTACAGAAGGAGTTACGGGAAAAATTTCTATAGACGGCTTTCCAAAAGTCATATGTGTAGATTTCAAATATACCCTCGGATTTGACCTTTGACCTTTACTTCAAGGTCAAATGGGTCAAAATTTTCAAAAAAATGAAATTTTTTACGAAAAAAAATTTTTTTGCCCTGTTATTCAGACGCCACACAGACTTAACCAATAATATTATTGGAAAGTGTTACCCTTCAGGTCATCTTTCATCTCCGTGAATTTGGGGTCAATCGGTGCATTTTCACAGGAGTAGCGGCCATAAGATACCGAAACTGAAAACTGTCTCTAATTCGGGAACCGTTAATGCTAGAGACCCATTCTTTTTTGCATTTTGTAGAGCATGTAAAGCCCAACACTGGAGGTGGTCTCGGTTTTTTTGTATTCCATACGGTTTTCGAGTTACGCTGTATCAGAAAGTACATATTGGTGGTGAAAGGAAAATGTACGGAAGCCGACTGGTGCCATATGTAGAAAAAAAAATTATCTCGAAATTTCGAGATACTATTTTGAAATTTGAACAAAAAAAATTTTTATCTCGAAATTTCGAGATAGCATTTTGAAATTTGAACAAAAAAAAAATTATCTCGAAATTTCGAGATAGCATTTTGATATTTGAGCAAAAAAATTTATCTCGAAATTTCGAGATAGTATTTTGAAATTTGAACAAAAAAAATGCTATCTCGAAATTTCGAGATAATTTTTTTTTTTCAACATATGGCACCAGTCGGCTTCCGTACAGCACTGAATGCTTTGTCACAAGTTGTAAATATACACATTTTGAGTCAATATTATTTACTTTTAAATGGTATAATTCGCTGTGTAAACATATTAAGATATTTTCACTTTCTAAATCTTTATAATATCCACTCTTTAAGATTTTGTTTTGATAAAGGGGACCTTGTTCAAATTTAGTTTCAACACTCAGGATCTTATGTGATTTCTTGTTTCTTGGAAGGATATTTTATAAAATTAATAACTTATGCAAAAGAGGGCCACTTGTATAATTTTTTATAAATTCTTTCACTTGAGTGAATGTGGTCGACTATACTGGTATATGCATTCTTTCTCTCTTTTTCTCTCTCTCTCGTGTGCCTTACATGTTACTTTTTTAAGATATGGACCATTTGTATATGAATAGTCAAATGAAAATATTTCTTATTTATATAAGCTACGTATAGGAGTTAAGACAATGTACGTACTTCATCTTTCAAGTTTTGCTATGTTTCAAGTTTCAGTGATTTTTTCTAAAATATTCTTCTACCGTTCATAGTGTACCAGATATTTAAAGACTACATGTACCATGCCACATTAAAACTTTTGCACTAAGCTCTCACAATGAATAATAATAATAAAAAAACGACAAAAGGTAAAGTGTGCGAAACCAGTCCAAAGTAAAAATATGTAAAACTGCCATTTTGACTACAATTTTGACTACATTTTCATTCTTCAGATTTAAGTCGCTTATGTGCTGTTACAGTTGTTTTTACTGTATTTTATTGTGTATCTGAATTAAATTGTTTTGAAAAAGAATCAGGTAATCAATAAAGATCTGTTTCTATTTCAGTTTTTTTCTGTGTTTAGCATTTACAAATAACTATATAAAGGAATTATGAAGTTTATAATTTTGTGCAGTGGAACAATTTCATATTTTGCTTTGTTGTGGGATGATTCTGTCAGCGAAATGAGATTTATTTCTGTATCTGTATGCAAGGGATTATCTGTAGTAATTTACTACGTACAAAAACACCTTTTAATTAAAATCGACAGGCTGATAAAAAAATTTATGGTGCTGGTGTAAAGTCCATATTCAAGCTACATCAATTTAGACCTTGCTAATAGGCGGGTGGCGTCATTCCAACATCAGCTTGACAGTATTTCGACGTCAGCTCTACGTCATTTACGTGTTTTTTTTTTAGTTTATCGAACGTATGTCGACATGTATATGTCTATGTCATGCGTCTGGTGAGACGGACGTATTTCAATATCGTTTGTGACGCTGAGGCATAATTATTTGCCGTCTCTCCACATTGTAACTGTCGGTACTACATGTACACCTCGAATATAAAAGACACTAGTTGACTTAGCAGTTTAATGTTTTCTGACAAAAACCTGGTTAACATGTGCAGATTAGACTCAAAACTTGCTATATAGCTAATCACACGCAACTAGAGCTCCGTTAGCCACGTCTTATCCTAAAAGTGTATTTTTGACACGATGTGAAATTTGTCAGGTGCACATAGATATCCGAGCCATTATTGATAAAACTCAAGTCGGGGCCTACTGATACCCACGCCTTTTAGAACACCCATTCGTAAATTTAAGATATGGCTTGTGTTTAGTGTTAACCACGTCTGGTTCAAAGAAACTGTCTTATTTTTTAAAGCCCGGATCAAGCATAGTATTATTACTTTAATACCTGGACGTCACGGTATGTTGACAAGGCGCAAAACTGTTTTCATACACCGTTCTCATTTCTGTACACTTGCCTTCCCAACACACACTTAGAGCAAAATGCTGAGCTACTGTTGCCTTTTTTTACTGCCAGTGTTGAGGGCACCGGAGCTCGGTGCTGTTGTTTTTTCGATGACGCTTTGGTCTGTGGAGAAGTGATTTTAATATCACAAGTGTTTGGTCTTTGTATTCAGTGCACACATTATGTCTATATAGTAGGAGTGGATCAAGTCTCACGAGTCCGGTAGATGAGCTTCAAACTCGCAAAGTGCGCCGTGTTTAAGATAATAGTCCTAGTAGATAAAAAAAAACACTGACTGATATTTATCACATTAATTAGATGTCTGAATATGGCAGCAATCTTACTGCAAACTGCGATTTTTCTTTGCGTACAGTTAGTGTTGTGTGGAAATTCTTATAGCCAGATCGCACCCGCAAAGACTAGCACTTTGCTTCCTACAGGGTAAGATGTGTTTTTTTTCTCATATCCAGAGTCACTGTAAACACAAAGAGGCGTTAAAGAGTTTTGGCAATGCAAGATGTTTAATTGGTTTTGTTCAGATTTGCGACGATCGGCCGTTTTATAAATGAAATGTGGATGAAAGAGAAAGAAGGAATGATTGAAAGAATGCAGAAAATGATAATTTTGATAACAAAAAGATGACAAAGGCGCGTAACTGTTTTTATACAGAGTTTTTAATTCCCGTACTTTTGCTTTCCTTTACGTGAAAGAAAATTAAAACTATTAGAAAGAAGGAAAATGAAAAAAAAGAGTAGAAAGAGAACTAAAACTGACCGCAAATTGTTCCGATAGGTGATGTCAATGCCTTTGGTGGTGAATTTCTTGAATATGCTTATATTTTTGTTTAGTTTTTTTTCTCATTGTAACAGTGATGAAATACCCGAAACATAAGCGGGATATCAATTTAAGCACAAACTGTTTGAAAATTCTATGGTTATAAGTTTCTTTGAAAAGAAAACAATGAAAACCATACTGTGTTATTTTCTGTGAGGATTGGTTATAGTGACACAAAATATCTGATTATTCCAGATCGAACGTCTGTACATATAGGCAGCCTGTGGAATCAAAGGACATTAACGGAAAATCTACGTAATGATCTCTCTCTCCCTTCTCCTCTCTCTCTCTCTCTCTCTCTCTCTCTCTCTCTCATGATATTCTCTCAGATGGCAAACAATAGTAAGAAACCTTTCTACAGTTTGTAACACAATTGTCTATTTCTTACATTTATAGATGCCTTTGAATAGCGTGAAATTTTATTAGTAACATTAGTCTCGGACATATCCTTGGCATCAAGACACCATGTACCGATGATTTACTTTGCAGCATTTGATACATTTTTAGATATGCCCATATATGCATTATTACCCCTGTATATTCATATCAATTTATATCTCCGTTATTGTGCAGTGTTAAATACCTGACGGCCTACAGATGTTGTGATGGCTGGACCAAATACAAGAGTCATTCCATAGACTGTATGGTCAGAAGTGAGTTGATAAATTTTTCATTCCACAGTGATGTGAACATAAGTAAGAGTTACCCTCTACCAGGGCCGCAGATGAATTGTGCGCACTTTTCTCTAACGTCACAGTAGAGAAAAGTGCCATGAATTAGCCAGAGATACATCTGTGAATACCTAGTGAAAAATCGATCCTTGGTCCTGATAGAGCGTATGTAGGAGTCACGTTAGAGATGCACACATTGTGTGTAATATTTCCATTTTCTGACTTTTCCATTAATTTTGCTATTTATGCTAGAGTACCCTCTAATTTGGAAAGAAATTAACAGTAAATGAACAATTATAAGCAACAGTTGTGCAAATATCATACAAAATTTGTGCACGTCACTGATGTTATTTTTATCCTAACCTGTTTCTTTAATTCTAAGTCGTGTTGTAATTTACCTCTATTATCTCGTCACAATTTTTTTTCATAACTTTGTTTAAAAATCTTTTCAAACTAAATTTTTTGTTCACAGTAGAAATGTAAATTAATGCAAAAAGTAAATTTCGCTACTTTCAGCTAAATGCTATGCAGATAGCTACAATTTCGTGTGTGACAATGGCAAGTGCCTGGATAACCGGTATATCTGTGACGGTGCTGACCAGTGCGGAGACGGCTCTGATGAACGCATGTGTGGTAAGTCCACTGCGTCCATTCATACACGGGGGTAAAGTTGAAAAACAATGGGAGCAAATTAGCAAAAATGAATAAGAGAGAGAGAGCGAGAGAATGATAAAAATAATATATAATTATAGTAATAATGTAAATGTAAAATCCATAAAATGATCTGTAAACTGAGCAGAATAGTATAATTTGATAAATGAAAAGTATGTAATTATTCCATGGTGTTCTTATGTTTGTGAAGAATAATTTGATAATTTAGGCAGCTGTCCTGCGGGGTACTTCCGCTGTTACAAAGATGACGCGTGTCTACCCCGGCGCCTGTACTGTGATGCCATTGTGGACTGTGGAGATCCTAGAACAGAGATTCCGGAGGACGAAATGAACTGTGGTATGCAATTTGTCGCTTATTTAATACTCCAAGACAGATTATTAAATTCTTAAATTATTTTTGTTAGAAATTTACATCTAACGAGTGGCATAACGGCGACCATTGTCTCTTCACCCATTTCTCTTTTACCTCAATTTGAAGTAGACACACTTTTTTCTTGAATCATGAATCATGTCTGAAATTTTTTTACGTTTATCATTTTATCATACAGCCTTGACAATCAAGTTAATGGGCACCACGTCAACGAGCAGATACGGTCACGTGAACAAGGGGGTCGTGGGACTGTGGCATTATGGGAAGTGGGGATCCCTTTGTGACGATTACATGGGCCTCAATGACGCCCACGTGTTGTGTCGTTCACTTGGCTTCAAACAGGCGATAAGGACGATTAAAGGTAAAGCAGGCAGTTTCCTTTTGTCAAAGTATCTCATGGGTCATATTTCAGGCATTTTAATCTGAAAATATTATATAAGCTTTAAACACAAGGGGCTTTTAATGGCGACGGAAGAAAAAATCAACCTAGATCAAAATCAAAATCAGTCAAAATCAACGGTCATTGTAAAATTGGCATTACTCCACCGTGTACATACAATAAAATATAGTATATGCAGCACCAGTACAATCAATACAAGTGTTTTTTTTGTTATCGTTTTAAAACTTTCTGTTACATGTATATTTTAGACGGATCTCTTGGGACTTTAAGTGCTTCGTATCCGATATGGATGGACAATCTCGCGTGTACGGGGAACGAGCAGGTTCTGGTGCAGTGTGACAAGCCAAGGTGGGGGGACCATAACTGTGGCCATTACGAAGACGTCGCCATTGAGTGCAGTGAAGGTAGGTACATGTATACTGGGGGTAAAACTGTTGTACATATTTCCATACACGTTCTTATATTTTACGCCACTGATTAAACTAGATGCATACTGGATTGACGCTAAAATCAAATCGTGCGTTCAACCGAGCCTCGTTTGCCGTTTTTGTTCAGTGAGCTGTACTATAATAATGCTAGTAATAGTACATGTACCGGTACAACGCGCCAGTTTCACGTAGTTAACATGGTATTTTTAACATTGAAAGTTATAAAAGCACAGTTTATTTGATACACTTTCACTAATAGATGTTTATTTTTTTCAGAACGTTTGCCTCAAATTCAGATCGTGGGGAGGAGAGGGTTAAGCACCGGGCGCTCTAGACGCAGGCCAATGTGGTGGGAGACAGTATGAAGATAGAAACAGAAACAAAGAAATAGAAAATGTGCTAAACTATTCAACAAAGATCCTTTAACACCCATTTGAGAATATTCATTTTTATCCCATCTCACTTCTGTTTAATAATATCCTATTTCATCATGTCTTTTTATTTCTAAATGCAACGTAACCGATTTGGCGAAAAGAAAACTGACATGCTAATTACTATATAAACTATTGATAATAAGTTCGTTTCCAAAACCTTGTGAATTTTATGAAGACACTTTTTAACACATTCAGCAATAAATGTGGTAAGTATAACAACATTTTGCTCAGTGAATTTAAATTACCTATATGTAATTGCTGCCACCTATCGTATGAATTGTAACTACAGGATTTTATTTTCTGAAAGAAAAATGATTCTTTTGAAAATGATTCTGAACAATGTTTTACTTTATACTTTAAAAGATAAATTCACTTTTACCAAAGTAGAAATTAAAGTGCATTTTCACAACGAAGCCTTATTAGCTAACAATTGTAATTTATTCCTTTTGTATATTTTCTCATATAAAAAATTACTGTCTTATAAAAAGCACAATACCAGGTGTCTACGACTATAATTAAACAATTTTTTTATAATCTTACACAGCTCTTGCTGTAAAGTAAACAGACGGATGCTGTATAATTTGATTTTTTTTCTTATTATGAAAATGTACAAGTACAGTGTAGGTCTCTTTGAGAAGGTCTATCCATTTTCGTCACAAAACATTCTTCATTTTGTCCATCTTGATGTTGACCACGACGGTTTCCAATTGCCCATGACGTATAGAATAATTTCTCGGTCCTGCAAAATCAAAATGATGATGATATTAATCAGTTAGAGTGCTTTGGGCCCAATATGTCTGCAGGTTTATCAAATTAGGAAAAAACTTATAAACTAATAATCAAAATATCCTTAGAGTCTCCCTTTCCCACTGCTGCGCTTCACAGTGAGCTTAAGCTTCTGTTGGTCGGTAAACCATTAATTAAATAATTTGGTTGTCGTTGTAATAGCCAAACGGGACTTCTTTATTGCTGTGTTTGTATCTATTTTAATTCATTAGTTGTTTCCTTGTAAAAGCAGTGGCATGACCAACCCCATTTTGATATCACACAGACAACTTATATTTTACTAATAGAGTCATTATGTCACTAATTGAGGATATGAATACAAAAACCACTAAACTTGTCAGCAGCATTCATTTATTTTTTGGGTAATGAAAATCGTCATTTTTTGTGCATAAGACATGTTACAAGGACTGGCTTTCAATAATGACACAAAGGACAAAGACATTTTTTTATCCGTATGTTTGCGTGTCCGAATAATTCAAAAAGACCCCCAAGCAGCCATTAATTGTAACATGACATAATCAAACCAGTTTATTATTATTATAGGCCAGGGATTACATTAGAACACGCTTAGTTTTGTCTCATATGAATATGTTTTAGAGCAATATGGACAAAACAGGCTTGCAGTGAAGTTTTTGTGTGTAACCATTCACTGCCTACTAAAATAAGTCCAGTCTCGCATGGGCTTGTATGAATAGTATAGATTTATGTTATTCAAATATGATCGAAAACACTGGCAATAATCTAAATGTAAAAGATAAAACGTTTCACACTGTCGGTAATACAAATAGAGGTAAAAGCGTTCCATTTGATAAAAACAATCTAAGACCCCATTCTCAGAGACTAGATCGATCCAACCTAGATTGACCTAACTCCCTGAGGGTTCATGCTAAATAGCTGTCAGCCGAGCGGGCACGAAAGTTAATTACCCCCTTACAGCTTTCTGTAGGCGGGACGGACATTTAAGCCGGCTTATCTGACAGTAATCTAGTGAGAATCCCCACGGGGATAGATCGATCTAAAATCTATGGGAATGCGCCCTAAGCTGCACGACAATTTTTGACCGGTTTGACCCTTAGTGAGGCGGGGGCTTCACCATTGTGGGCCCATTCCCGATGAAACTATCATTCTAAAATGAATAAATCACTGAATATGTTCTATACAGTATGGAGACAAACCTTGATATGATGAGACAGTTCCCGAGTTGGTCCGTCAATACCGATGACGCCTCGAAGGAGCTCTGTAGCCTCTACCAAAGCCGGCACTGAAGCCGAATTCCTCCCTGAAACCACCAGCGACGTCACTGTGGAATCCAAACCCTCCTCCAGCGCCGGCGCCGAAGCTATAGCGTCCAAGGGAATCCCGTCCCCCTCCGCCCCCGACACCTCCTCCCCCGCCACCGCCGCCGCTGATTCCGTTCCCAAAGTCGCTGCCGAAGCCCGCTCCCACACCTGCGCCTCTACCTATTCCATCGCCCGTGCTGCTACCGCCGCCGCCTCCTCCGCCGCCACCCCCTCCTAGTGGTCCCCCAGAGCCGCCTCCGTAGCCGATGCCGTAACTGACGTCGTTTCCGCCGCCGCCGCCGCCGCCACCACCGCCGCCACCGTACTCTCCAACGACGTCGCCGCGTCCGACGTATTCGTCGTTACCTCTTCGGCCGTCATAGACCTGTGCTAACGACCCGGCCAGTAGTAGCACAGCGACACACACGCGGCTCAACATTCTTAGTCGCCTTGACTTAGACGCAGTGAAATTGTAGAAGTTCTGAGCTGAGAATGCAGTCTCAATCAATTTGAAAGGAATATCAGTCCTCAAAGCTTCCAAAATATTGAAAGCACTCTCCAAGCGATTTGCGCAAGCGGCTATTTACACAAATCCCTTGGTTTTCTCGAGGCGTAATTCAGTTTCACTTTTTTCCAACCTTTAAAGTTTTTACGGACTTATAAAGCGATGTTAATAAATGTCTATTTCATTCTGTCGATGTATAACTCGACCCCATATTTATATCCAACCAAACTTATTTGCGTGACAAGATGTTCTTTCAGAGTCGCCTTGGTACAGGGAAGTCTGTACCCCGCTTACCGTGCGGTATTTATGTGTGTTATTTCCGTATCGTGCAGCAGAACATTAAGTGTTCGAAAGCGCCATGCTGATCTGTAGCTAAAATAAATCTTGATTTTATAAATCTTGATCTGCCATAAGAACGTTCATTTATTTGAATGAGGTAAGAGTTACATGTTGCTGGTTTTAGTCTCATTAGTAAGCTGTCTATCCCTCTGTCTATGTGTTTACCTGTCCATCTGTCCAGTCAATATGGCATTACAGAATATCGATTTAATTAGCATACTGGACCGTGAATATTTCTACTTCCTTGATTTGCGGTCGGTTAATATGTAATAAAATGAAAAACAGTAGGCTCGTATAAGTTCTTTAAACATGCGTAGTGGGTGTATTGTATGTTGTCATTGACATACGCGCGCGAGCTGTTTTTTACTTTTTTGTCAAAGCCGAATTTCAGTTTATTGACACGAAAATTCACAATTTCTGCACTCAGAGTGTCAGAGGTTACTGAAAGCTAGGTATTGCTGCTACAATCACCACATGCTAGTGGACAAAGTTCGAGTCAAATAACTCAGGGTGAAAATGTTTTTAAAAACAATATAAAAGGAAAGCTATTGTCATTTTCTGATCAAAACATGACACTTTTGTGATACATGGTCTAGACTGTCTAGACCATGTATTACAAAAGTTTAAAAAAAAGACAGATCTCGCTCAAAAATGATGACTCTTGGAGACACTTATAGTCTGTAATTAAATTCGAAGAAAACTAATGATACAAAAATGTAAGATAAGGAAAACAAAAAGGACAGAAACATTAACTGTATATTTATGGTTGATGATTCAGTAGTTGTCCTGCTCAAAGACATAACTAAGAACACAGTCAAGTGCGTACATGCGGTGATCAGTCCCTTGGAAAAGGTCATGTCATTTGTACAGCATATACTCTTAAAGAAGTGGGAAAAAAAGCAGATGCCTCTTGATATCGCCACGCTGTAGTTAACATTATACTGTTGCGGGGCTGCTCTATTTTAACTTGGGCGGTTATTTCTGTATTTTCCATGTGTGTTTTGCTGTCCTTTTTATGCATAGCTGTACAGTTGCCCATGATACATATAGACCTGAATGAGTTTATTAAGCATAAGGCGAGAGTCACGTTTCCAATATCTAAAGAAGATAGTATGTATTCTGTCCTGTTTTAAACTGACAGTACAAATTTTGATCTCTGACTTGCGTATATAAACCTAAAGCTAGCGACGTAGACACACTTACGCCTTCGCAGCATATGAAGCCAATGATGGAGCGAACATTCGTTTTGCATTTTGCGTTTTGGTTGTGCGCTTTGGTTTTCCTGAATGCCAATTCCAATGGACAGATTCAGCAGTCAGCAATGACTTTGCATTCTTTGGGGTAAGCTTTATTAATTGACAGTTCGCGCGCTTGTTGTCCACATGGTGAATAAAACATGCGATTTAATAAAAAAAAAATATTGTTTTAATTAAATGAATGCAGATGTAACACTAGGCAAGAGGCATTTTGGTAGGTTACCGAAAGTTAAAAGTATTCTATACGGTATTTACCTGCCAAAATGAATTTTCATCTGAAAAAGAGCCATAATCTACTACAGTACGTGTTCCCTCCAATCTGTTGGTCATGTCCCTGCACTTGGATGCAATGTTTCTTTCTATATTTAATTTTATAGTTTAGTTTTTTTTAACTGCTGGCGAGTCATTTAGAACACGATGTCTTCCTATACATAAGCAAGTGTCGACACCAGGTACTTTTATTTGATATGTTTGATATCTTGAAGAGCTGAACTAGAAAAGATATATACTGTAGACAAAGAAAGTATGAATTTTAGGGATTTTCAAACGCACACAGTAGACCTATGCCTTTATTAACTTCAAAAGCATAAACTAAAGTATAGGAACGATGAAAATAAAAAATAAGATGTTTTTCAGGTCCAATGTATGTACTTACAAATACCGAGTGGAGACCAAGGACAACAGAGGAAGATATTCGTAAGATCTCTCTCTCTCTCTTTCTCTCTCAGATACACATGTAGGATAGATATTTATATTTGAAATACTAAATCATGTATTTATGAAGTATAAATACATACTTTTCACATAATTCAAATTTGGCTTGGCAGGATGTGCATGCGTATAAACGTTACCACTTTCGCCGTAAATATGTCGTTTCTCTCAATTTTCATTTCATTACGCTTCATCATATGTAAAATAAAACTTAATATATATTAGACCTATGAGGTCTATCAGTTCACTGTTGCAGCTGAGTGTATAATAATCCATAAATACCGGTACGTTTTTATCATCAAAAACAACTGCCGTGCCCCCCCCCCCCCCCACACACACACAGATATATTGCAAAAACATTCCACAAGCCACAGTTTTGAGTCATTCTATCCCCCTGAACCATGGACCCACAGAGGTCCGTCAGCTACATCGCATTTTAGGTCCGTTTTAGGTCCGTATACGGCTCCAATCAATAATAATTTTCCCATGTCCTGGTCTTTCAAAATGTGTCCCACGAAGGTAAGCTTTTTTCTCTGTGATAGGGTCAAGCAGTCTTTTTCGCATTCGAACCGTCTCAGCAATTCATCTTTCGTAGTCCTTGTAACCCAGCTGATTCTAAGAACGCGCCGATAGGGCCAAAATTCAAAACTTTCTAATCTTTTCCTGTCTAATTTTTTCACCACGCAACATTATGCGTCATATGAAGATATCCATAAAACTTAACGAGTTGAGTAGTCTTTTCTTTGTCCTAAGAGAAATATTTTTGTCCTTCCAGACCTTTGTTAGGGCGATTGTGACAGATACTTTATACCATATTGAAACTAAAGGATCGGAGAGGCGATATTGCCTCCGGGTATTGAAGTAAGGGCATTCGTATGGAAAACAAAAAGGGGACACCACCTCCAGTGTTGTGCTTGAAGAGCTCTACAAAATGCAGTAAACATGAGTTCTCAATATTTTTATTGAAAATTACCATTTAAAACAAAATCGTGAGGAAAAGTAAAAGTTAACATCCAAATTAGTGAAATGCTGTTCATGGCGAAAAGTAGGCCAAAGGTCAATTTTAATATCACAGTTAGATTGCCAATGTATGACTTCCTATATCAAGTTCAATAGTAATTATAGGTGTATCTTTGCTAATTTTGGAGTTACAGTAATGCGCCATGAATTTCTGTTTTTGATGAAATTCATGAAATTGGAGGTGTGCAGAAGTTCCAAATGTTCTAATTTCATGATATCTGGCATTTTTGACAGGAAGTTGTCTGTCACTCACTTACCCTTATGTTATTTTTTTTCGACGTTCGACATTATGGCACATTACTGTATTTCACATTTTATTTTCACCACCACTTTGTACTTTTTGATATAGCGCAACTCGTAAACCGTATGGAAAACAAAAAACGGACACCACCCCTAGTGGTGCCCTTGACAAGCTCTATAAATTGAAAAAAAAAAAAAAAAAACAAGAGGTCTGTAGCATTTACGGTTCAAGAATTAGAAAGAATTTTCAGTTTTAGCTTCTAATGGCCTCTTCTCCCGCGAAAATGCACTGATTAACCCCAAACTCACGAAGGTGAATGATGATGCTATGGGTAACCCCTGCCAATAACAGTGTAGGTTAGGTCTGTGTAGTTTCTGAAAATCGGCACAAATAAAAAGAAATGCGAAAGATCCCCTTTTAAGAAAATTTGTACCCGTTTAACCTTGAATTAAATGTCAAAGGTCTAATCCAAGGGCCTATTTAAAATCTCCACATATGACTGTCGGTCAGCCATCTAAGACATTTTTCCCATAATTCATCCGGTTTGGGAGATATTTAGCATTTAATTTTGCAAAATTTGGACAAGGGTCCATCGCGACGAGCGCCACACCTAGACCTGTGCACCGACAAAGCCCAAAATTTACGTGGAACGAGCTGAGATTATACGTAACCTAAACCCAAGAGATGGGTACACAGGCTCTTGAATTCTAGGAGGAGAAGCGGTAACGGTAGCATGGCGGCGGAGCCGGCGGAAACGGTGTTTATGGCAGACGAGACGGGTCGAGACTAATACCATGTGTACCGTCAGCGCCTACGCTGGTGGTGCAATTACACGGACTCTTTTGACGGCATTTTCTCTTCAGTGCATGGTCAGAGGTTTGCATTTTCCTTTGATTTATAATTATTTGATGTATAATAATTGTATTTTTCAGAGTGAATTACACAACACGATACCGGTGTTGTGATGGTTGGACAAAGCACAATGCATTTTCTCTTCAGTGCATGGTCAGAGGTATGTGTTTTTTCTTTAATGTATCTTAATATTTAGTGCCAGTAGAACACCTAACATGGAATATGATAACAAAAGATATATGCTTAATATTTTGGAACTCGTGGATACAATATTTATTTCAAAGTTCTCTGATTATTATCACAAAAACGATACAGTAACTGGGTGACTGCTTTTTTTCTAAAATGCCTGCTTTTTTGAACACGTCGTTTATATATATATATATATATATATATATATATATATATATATATATATATATATTAGGGTGTGCTTGTTCAAGGTCACGTGCCTAACAGCGTGTGCGTCTACTGCGTACTGCAATTATCTCCTGTAGACAGCACGACAAGCCTTCAAC